TCCATGATTTTTTGTATCCAGTAGATTTATGAAGTGAAATTCATAGGCTCATCTACAAAAGGTGTTTTGTAAGTTCCCTTTGAGGATTAGAACTGAGAGATCAGAGAGACACAAGTAGTTGGGTATTATTGTCTTTGATAGATTTTCAGTGTGCATTCATTCTGGTGTGCAGCTGTTGTTTTCTTGTTCTTGTCTTCTCCTATATATTTTCCATCAGGGCATTTGGGGCATTGGATGAGATATATTACATTTCTGGAGATGTAGGTGTAAGATCCAGGAATGGTGATAGATCTGTGGTGGGGTGTATTATTGTGAGGGTGGTGGAGACTGTGTTGGCAGGTTTTGCATTTCTTGTTCTGGCATGGTCTGGATCCATTGGGTGTGGTTTTGGCCATAGGGAGTTTGCTTCTGGTGATGAGGTTAGTGAGGTTTGGTGCTTGTTTAAAGGCTAGGATGGGTTATTCTGGAAAAATGTATGAGTTCATCATCAGAAATTCCTTGATGGGTCTTGAGGTGATTTAAGAGTCCAATCCTTGAGGCACAAATTTGTCCATAGAAATTGCAGATCTTTGCACAGGGGAGAGTAGGTTGTAGACTAGGATTCCTCTCCTTTTCCATCCTCCACTTCCTCTTCTCCTCTTCAAGGGCAAAATGCTTTAGCTTGAAACAGGCTGTCACTCGGTTGAGGTTAATGCACCATTAGAGACAGCCAGCTCCTCCCAACTATTAATATAGGCATCCATTTTCTTGAGGTATGCCTTCAATGTGTCCTTGTAGTGTTTCTTCTGGCCACCATGAGATCCCAAACTATTACTAAGCTGAGACTAGAGCACTTGTTTTGGAAGTCAAGAGTCAAGCATCTGCATACAATGTCCAGCCCAGCAAAGTTGGTGCTTGAGGGTCACCTACTCCATGCTGGAAACATTGGTTTCAGCAAAGATGCTGGTGTTTGTGCAGAGATCTTCCCATTTGATGTGGAGGATTTTCCAAGGGCATCATTGGTGATGTGTCTCCCAGCTCTTGAGATGATGAGTGTAGGTCATTCACATTTCACATTGGTAGAGGAGAGTGGGGATGATGACTGCATTGTAAACCTGGATCTGGGTGTCTTTCCAGATATTGTGATGAATAGACACACCAAAGCAATTTTGGAAAGGAGGCTGTTGTGCACTAGATCCTGTGCTGGATTTCCTCATTAGATGTTCACTCTCTGAAAGAGGTGGCTACCAAAGTTGGGGAAGTGCATGACTAGCTCCAGGGTCCCTATCTCAATGGTAATTTGGGAAGGGTGTCCACATTCATGTCCAAGGCCAGGCTTATAGGGTACTTTAGTCTTCTTGATGTTGAGAGAGAGGCCCAAAATTTCAGTAGGATTCTCCAAAAAATCCAGCGCAGTCTGGAGATTTTCCTCAGTGTACACAAGAATGGTGTAGTCATCAGCATGAAAGTCAAAGATGGTTGTTTTAAGTACTTTGGTCTTCGAGTAACCAAAATGTTCCAGGTTGAAGAGTTCTCTGTCCATTCAGTATTTAGTATCAATTCTAGAAGGTGAGGACCAGGGTGATTGTCAGAAAAATAGAGAATAGAGTTGGGGTGATGACGCACCCTTACTTGACACCAGTTTATATGACAAATGCATCTTTATCTAATCCATTTCAAAGAATGGTCAGTCATCTGGTCATGGAGAAGTCTTTGATGTACTTTGATGACTCCAATGTACTTTTCAGGACAAAGAAATCTGGTCAGTACTTTCCACAATGCTTTGTGGTTGATGGAATCAAAGGCCTTAGTAAGGTCCATAAATGCCACATACAGGTCCTGATGTTGGCCCCAACACTATTCTTGGACCTAGCAGGCAACAAAGATCATGTCAGGTGCCCCACAGAATGTTCTGAAACCACACTGACCACATAGCAGAACTTCCTCAGTGAAAGGTAGAAGATAGTTCAGGAGAATGCTGGAAAAGATTTTCCCTGCTGTGGAATGGAGGGTGATACCCTTAACAGTTCCCACACAAACTTTTCTCCTTTCTTGAAGACAGTCACCATGTTGGCATTCCTCAGATCCCCAGGGATCTCTTCACTGTTCCAAATTTATATAATAAATCCATGAAGTCTCAGTTCCAGTTCCTTGCTGCCAGCCTTGTAGATTTCAGCAGGTATGCTATTCGGTCCAGTAACCTTGTTGCTCTTGATAGCACACCAAACTCTCCTAAGATAGGAAGGTTGGAAAGGGATCCCCTTTCGGGGTGTTGGAGGATGGGTTTGATGGTGGTATTCATCACAGTCAACTCATGATTCAGGTGTGTCTCAAAGTGTTCTTGCTATCTAGCCTTGATAGATTCATTATCTTTTAGGACTGCCAAGCTATCCTGTGATCACAGGAAAGCAGGACCATGGGAAGTAGGGTCATAGGGCTTTTGTTGCCTGGAGAAAGCTATGCATATCATGTTTTTCAGCATAGATCTAGATCTCCTTGGATTTATCTTGCCACCACTGATTTTTGATTTCCTGAATGCTTCTTTCAATTCAGCTTTGAGGATATGACACATCTCCTTCTTCTGCTGAGATGAGGTGTCATCTTGTTAAGCAAAATGAGACCCTCTCCTTCCAGTCAAGAAGGCTTGGATCTCAGCATCACTGTCATCAAACCAATCTTGGTGTTAATGGGTAATACAGCCAATGGATTCAGCACAGGTGAATGGATGGCAGTTTAAAACCCCTTCCAGCATGTCTCATTGTTGCCTTCATTTGTTGACAGGGCAGAGAACTTTTCTTGGAGACACTGTTGGAGATCCTTACAGACTTTCAGGTGTTGAAAAAGATTTGCTGTTGAGAGTCCTTCAGATTGTTTTTGGCTGTTTTTTGTTGTTTCAGAGCAAGCCAAATGTTCATAATGGATCTAACAAGATGGTGATCTGTCCAGCAGTCTTCAGTTCCTTGCATGGCTCATGTGATAAGAACATCCATTGGATCATGGGCTCTAATAATAACATAGTCAAGGAGGTATCAGTACTTTGAGTGAGGGTGTCTCCAGGTGGTCTTACATTTGTCACTCTGTCTGAAGATGGTGTTCATCATGACAAGGCCAGGCTCCGCACATTTGCTTGAGAGAAGGTTGCCATTGGAGTTGTCTTTTCCTACTCCTTCTTTCCCTATGGTGCCACTCCAGAGTTCTAGATCATGCCCACCTCCTATGCTGAAGTCATAGAAGAGAAAAATCTTGACTGCCTTGTGAGTACTAGTCAATACAGGGTCATGGTTGGAGTAGAATTGTTCTTTGCCATCATTGTCAGCATCAAGCATTAGGGGCAGATTTCTAGGAGTGAGATGCTGACTGCTTTGCAGGAGTTACAAGCCCAGATAACGATCCTGCAAGAACAATGTACCCTGCTTCTGGGTCCATCAGGGCAGTTAGCTTACTTATCTCATCCCAAACCCCGTATTCTGCTACCTGACAAATTGAATGGGAATTCTCACTGCTTCCAGGTGTTCATTAATCAGTGCTGCCTCATCTTTTGTCTCTGCCCCAGAACCTACACTTCAGATGCAGCCAAGGTGGGGCTGATCATTGATGGGATTCCCCACCCCTGGAGCCAGTTGACCCCCTCCTTGACCAACTGGAATACTTTATCCAGACCATGGCCAAGGTTTTCAGAGAGCTGTATCAGGTCTGTACTGCATAATGAGCTCTCCGGACCCTCAGATGGGGATGCTGCCTGGTATTGAATTATGTTGCTGAATTTAGATGGCTGATTGCTGACACAGAGTGGAATGAGATGTCTCAACACTGCCACTTCCACCAGGGCCTTCAGGACCACATTAAAAATGAGCTGGCCCAGATGGAGGTCCCAGCTACCCTACTACAGGCTCACTGACTTGAGTATCCACATTAATACCCACATATCTGAGTGACAACAGGGATGTTGAGCCAAATCTCAACTCCTGAAGTTGGCTAGGGCCCTGGAAGAGCTATTACTGCCTTCATAGATTTCATAGATTTCATAGACATTAGGGCTGGAAGGGGCCTTGGAAGATCATTGAGTCCAGCCCCCCGCCCAAAGGGCAGGAAGTCAGCTGGGGTCATAGGATCCCAGCAAGATAAGCATCCAATTTACCCCTGAAGGTGTTCAATGTAGGTGCTTGAACCACCTCCGATGGCAGGCTGTTACAGACCTTGGGGGCTCGGACAGTAAAGAAATTCTTCCTTATGTCCAGCCTGAAATGGTCTTGCAGTAGTTTATGACCGTTCAACCTCGTCATCCCTTGGGGTGCTCTGGTGAACAAATATTCCCCCAGATACTGGTGGTTACCCCTGATAAACTTATAGGTGGCCATCAGATCACCTCTGAGCCTGTGCTTTTCCAGGCTAAAGAGCCCCATGGCTCTCAGCCTGTCCTCGTAAGGTTTGTTTTCCTGACCTCTGATCATGCGTGTGGCTCTTCTCTGGACTCCCTCAAGTTTCTCCACCTCCTTTTTGAATTGTGGAGCCCAAAACTGGATGCAGTACTCCAGTGGGGCCCATGCAAGTTGACATGACTAGAAAAAGACTACCCCCAAAGAAGAAGGCTCATCATTTCTCCCAGATGCTCTGCCTGTATTGTGGTGGGAGGCAGAACATTTTGTTTGGACCTACGGGAGGAAGGAAATGTCTGCCTCATCTTCAGGAAACTCTCTGTCCCAGCCTTGTTAGAAGGGCATTGTCTGGGACTTTCACTCACCATTCAGCCAGGCTTTCTGATTCACATTAAATGCTCGAGTGCCACCAAACCCTGAAACTCACCCTAGCTAGTCACCCTTCGTCTGCAGCATGAATCTGGAGTGGACCTCTGTGTTCTGGCCCTCTTAGACACAGAGCCTCTGGTAAATTCATGGACTAACCCTAGTGGAACAACATCAGATACCAATCAGGCCCAAAAAGAACCCTGAAACAATAGAGACTGTGGACAGATCCCCACTCTCCTTGGGGCCCATCACCACTGAGATAGTTCAAATAGGAGTAATGATATGTGACCACTAGTTGTCTTTTTATTTTGATCTGATTGGTTCCCCTCACTTTTCAGACATCCTGGGGACCCCTTGGCTGTCCCTCCATGGTTCAGAAATCTTACGGAGGCTGAAGGAGCTCCACTTCAATTCATCCTATTATTTGCACTCTTGCTTAGAGGAGTGTCCCTCAGTTGATATTCAGGCCAGAAGCAGGGCTGAAAACATCTAGTTACTTGTGCTGACCATAGAAGCTCCATAGCCTTCCTTTAATGGAAAGTATGCATCCCATGGACCCAGACTTGCCTCTCCCTGCCAAGTATTGAGACTTAGTGGAGGTTTTTTACAAGAAAGGGGCAGACCAATTCTCACCACATTGTTTTTATGATAGTCTCATTGATCTCCTTGCTCTCCTAGATTTATTTTTGAACAAGGGGGACGATGTGGTGAGTGATCTGATGACAGAGGGTAACCTAGGCAACAGCAACCGTGACACTATCATTTTCACTGTCCCTCTTAAAGCTGGGAAATCTGTCAGTAAGGTACAAATTCTTGACTTTAAAAAAGCTGACTTCAATAAGCTAAGGACTTTAGCAAGTAATGCCCTACAGCAGGGTAGGCAACTTTTTTGGCTGGAGTGCCAAAAAACACCACAATGCCTACCTCGGAAGATGCTGGAGTGCCAGCATGCCAGAAAACAAAATGAAGGCAAGGGGTACATGGCAGGATGCCTTGCTTGTGCCCCTTGCCCCCCACCCAAAGCCCCTGCCCCACAGCCTGGGCTCTGTGGCTGCCAGCAGCTACCCCAGCTCTGGGTAGCTGCTGGAGCCCGGGCTGCTCCCAGCAGGGCTTGCAGCATCCCAGCTGCCTGCTGGGTGCAACCCAGGATCCCAGCTGGCAGCAGCTCCCCAGAGCCTGGGCAGCTGCAGCTGGAAGGCTCCAAACAGTTGTGCCAGGTTCCAGGCAGCTCCAGCACCAGCTCTGCACTGTTGTGTGCAGGCGTGCCTCAGAGCAGGTGGTGGGGGTGGGGCCTGAGGCAGTGCAGCCCCGATCTCTCCCCCACTCCTGGCACAGAGGTGATGAGCCCGGTGCAGCTGTTTGGAGCCAGCCCAGACTCTGGGCAGCTGCAGCTAGCAGTGGGCAGAGTGCAAACAGCTCCACCGGGCTGCACAGCTCCAGCATCAGCTCCGTGCTGGTGGTGACTGATGCAGAGCTGATGCCGGAGCCACCTGGAGCCCAGCACAGCTGTTTGGAGCCTCCTGGCTGCACCCAGCCCCGGCTCTGGGGAGCTGCTGCTAGCTGGGATCCTGGGCTGCTCCCAGCAGGAAGCTGGGATGCTGCAAGCCCTGCTAGGAGCAGCCCGGGTTCCATCACTGGCAGCAGCTACCCGGAGCTGGGGCCAGCTGCAGCTGGGAAGCTCCAAACAGCTGTGCCACAGTGTACCAAGCAAAATGGCCTCACGTGCCATGCTTGGCATGCGTGCCAGGGGTTGCCAACCCCTGCCCTACAGGATCATGGACTGCAGGGAAAGAGTGTAGATGAAGAGTGGTCATTCTTCAAGGACACAATCCTCGGTGCACAGTTGTTGATACCTATACACAGAAAAGGTGGCACAGGGGCCTGGAGGCTATCTTGGCTAAATAGGGAAGTCACAGATCCTCTGAAAAAGAAAAGGAAGACTTGTCAATGATGGAAGCTAGAAATAGACCAAAGAGAACTACATAAGATTGGCCCACACCTGTAGGGTCCAGATCAGAAAATCAAAGATGGTGACTGAATTCAAGTTAGCATCCAAAATCAAGGGCAATACTTCTATAGGTACGTAGATAACAGGAGGAAAACCAGTGGAAATGTGGGACCACTGCTCAATGCATCTGGAGATGTGATCACCAACACCAAGAAGAAAACTGAACTCCTGAACTAGTACTTTGCCTCTGTTTTCCACCAGTCTAAGAATAAGAGCCTGCCAAATGTAAATATGACACAGAATAGTCACAGTAGGGAAGATCACCTACAAACAGTCAATGCAGAGCTGGTGAAAGAACATCTAGAGAGGCTGGATATGTATAAGTCAGCAGGACCAGATGAACTCCATCCAAGAGCACTGAATGAACTAGCCAAAGTCATCACAGAATGGTTGGCAAACCTCTTTGAAATTCGCAGCACTCAGGAGAGGTCCCAGAAGACCGGAAGAGGGCCAGAGTTATGCCCATCTTCAAGAAGGGGAGGACAGAGGCCCCAGGAAACTACAGGCTGATCAGCCTCACTTCAATCCCAGGAACAATTCTCAAACAATTTCCCAAGGAGTCCATATGCAATAAGCTAGTAGAAGGCAAAATTCTGAATGACAGCCAGTACAGTTTTGTTGTGGGTAGCTCATGCCTGACTAACCTCATCTCCTCCTATCACCAGGTTCCTCACCACCTGGATAAGGGAAATGAGGTTAACGTCATTTACTTGGACTTTAGGAAGGCCTTTGACTTGGTGCCCCATTAGGCTCTCAAGGTAAAACTAGGAAACTATGGACTCAACAATTCAACAGTCAGATGGGTGGGCAACTGGCTGTGGGGCCAGACCCAGAGACTACTAATAAACAGATCTGTGTCCACCTGGTGGAAGATAACCAGGGTTCAGTACCTGGACCAGTGCTTTTCAACATCTTCATCAATGAATTGGATGTGGTGATGAAAAGCCCACATTCAAAAGAGGATGGAGCTAGGCTATTCTCAGTGGTGGCAGATGGCACAACAAGGAGCAATGGTCTCAAGTTGCAGGGAGGGAAGTTTAGGCTAGATATTAGGAAGAATTTTCTCACTAGGAGGGTAGTAAAACACTGGAACAGGTTACCCAGAGAGGTGGTGAAAGCTTCATCCTTGGAGGGTTTCAAAACTCAGCTAGACAAAGCTTTGGCTGGGATGATCTAGTTGGGGCTGGTCCTGCTTTGAGCAGGGGATTGGACTAGATGATCTCCCAAGGTCCCTTGCAACCCTAACTTTCTATGATTCTATAAACCTCCCAGGCTTTGTAGATGGTGTAGAGCAGTGGACATGATATACTTGCACTTTAACAAGTCTTTTGACACTGTACCCCATGATATTCTTACAGGTAAGTTAAGGAAACAAAGTCTAAATGAAGCT